CCTTAACTTGTCTCTCTTGTGAGTTGAACACTGAGGAATGATGTGTGGATGGTGGTAAAAGGGGCAAAAAATTCTGGGAGGAGCAAAATGGGAAAACTATTCTATTTTTTCTGTGTTGTCAGCCTCTCCCCATCTCCCTTCTCTCCACCTGGTGCTTGCCAAGAAATGTGTGTTAATTGCACAGAGGACCAGGGGAGCTGTTAGAGCAGTATCATAGAAGGGTAGGAGACACTGCAGAAGCACAGAGCCCTCCCTGTGGGGACAAGCTGGGGTATTAGCTTCGTTGCGGGGGCAGCATGTTGGCTGATTCATGAGTACAGGTGGTGTTCTGTTTCCATCCCACTTCGCCAGTCACATCCTTGTAATGGGCTGCGTGCTCAGAACTTAACATCTGCTTCAGTTGAGCAAAGGCTGGGGAAGGATGGAGTGCGATTAGAAACCTGGCAAAATATAACCCATACGTTTTCTTCTTGATACTTTTACTCATCTTCTAGTGACAAATCTAATGCCTTTCCCTTCTTTCCTTGTAGATCTCCAGAAGAAGGAGGGGGCCTTGGCAACACCAGTGGTGGGAGCAGCCACTCCATTTACAGCTTGGATAGGGCTTCCCATGCCAACTTGGAAAGTGCTGAGGGGCTAGGTAAAAAGCTAGAGAAGGAGCCCAAATCCACCGCGCAAAGAGCAAGCGAGAAGGGAGAGGCCTTGTCACAGTTTGAACTGAGTTATGGAAGTGAGTATCTTCATTCATTTGTTTCTTTAAAGGGATTGTGCACTCTGGCTGACTTCAAGCCAGGCTGATTCAATCCAATGTCATGTTAAATACCAGGTTGTATTACTTCCCATTTAGTTACATGAACAAGAAATTTCAATATATCTAAACAGGGAAAACATGGAAGACAAAGGTGGTTGTAAAACTTCAACCCAATCTTTCAGCCAGATCTGACAGTGTCTCTAATGTTTCTTCTCTAGAAAGTTTGGTTTTTAGGGCAAAATGAGGCTTTTCCATATTTCTAAGGTGTTAAACTTCAAGCTCATAATACCTTATGTAGTGCGAAGGAAGTTGAAAGAGTATCCAGAGTGGGGAATTTGAGCTCATGGCAAAGAGGCAAGAAATGAGTATCTCTGAAACCATTGGCATTAGGCTGTGACTCAGCTTTTTGCCATTTGTAGAACTGAGGTTTTATGCCCAGAGATGATTGGCGTGTTTTCAAAAGTACCTGTGCCTGCTTTGTCCTTGCTAATATTTGGAAAGGTGCGAGGTTTGTTTCAACTGATACCAGACCTAAAGTTACCCAAGTTACCACATGGCTCGTGTTCCCAAGCTCTCCCAGCTGGAGCATGCCCGTGTTGAGGCAAAGGAGAGTAAAGCCCTGCAGGATGAAGTGACTGGTAGATGTCAACAGTCTACCATGGCTTAGTTTTCAAAGCTTAGCTACAGTGCTGCTGGCTGAACTTGTTTGCCTGTAGCATGGATCCTATTTGGAATGGACTCTTTAAATAAAAGTGCAATTACAAAGCTTTATATGCATACATACATGCACAATTTCTTCCCTGTGTATGCTTTGTTCAGGTACCATCATCGATAATCGGGTGTCAAACACAGCAGAAGAGAATGAAGTAGGTTCTATGGCAGGTGAAGGCTTCATTGAGGTTCTTACTAAAAAGCAGCGCCGTTTGCTGGAAGAGGAGCGAAGGAAGAAGGAACAGGCTGCTCAGGTGAGGAGTAGGAGGCAGAAAAAGCTTAATGTGATATGCCATTTGGACTGTGGTCAAAGGAACAGGGCCCCCAAAAGTGTTTGGATGAGCGGAGAAACATGCAGTTGGCCGAAGTAGGACAAATCCTGTATTAGGCCCAGGAAATGCATTTTGGCTTTGGGCAGGGGCCATTGGTCTGAAAAGGATGGTTAGATTTCTGACCGTTCTTGTTTGCTAGCAGAATTGTTACTTGTGAGTTAAGTAGGGTTTTCTAAAGTGATCATCATCCGAAGCAACTTGGCTCACTAAGCAAGTTCCTGGCTGTAGTTGGTGGGATATTGGGCAGCAGTGAGCAGCGGAGGACCTCTGCACTCTTGTGTCAACAATGTGTTGTTGCTAGAGCAGGATGTGGTAGCTTCCTTGCTAGAGGTGTCCTGTTTGTGTCTGGGCACCTGACCAGAAAGAAACTAACACACTAGAAGCACTTCTGACAATTTCATGTTCATAATAGGATAAAGGACTTAATGTACAAGAAAAGATTTAAGACTGCAGTGTGGATAGCTTAGTTAAGTAATGATTAGGTGAGGGGTATTTGTCTACATGTACTGGAAGACTGCTGATTCTGGGGGGATAAGAGAATATTTTGATGTGAAAGGAGACTTAGTGAAATCTGGAGGACTAAATGCAAATGAAAAGCATTGTTGGGAAATGCTTCCTCACAAGGAGGGGTTGTGATAGGTCCAGAGTGTTTCGCAAGCAAAGTTATAAAAGCCTGGTTGCTTGGCATCTTTAAAATTGACTTGAAGACAATGTGTGAATGTGCAGTGGGAAAGGTCTTGCAGCTGCAGGGATGCGCTTCTCTTTCTATTCAGATCTTGGCTCTGTGAAAGACCCATCTCTGTGTTGTGAAATTATTCATTGATCTTGTTTTAGCTGGAGTAAAAGAAAGGAATTAAGCAGGGCAAGTCTGTTGTAGTGTTAATTTTGCTTTGCTTTGTATCTTATCCTCTCATCTCCCCAAAAGAAAAAAAATCTCATGCTGCTGAAAGCAGCTTTTTTTCACTGCCTTGTTAGACGGGGGGGGGGGACCTCCTAGTCGCCATGGGGACCATTTAAAAAAAAAAAAAAAAAACAAAAAAACCCACAAACCAACCACAAAAACAAAACAACCCACAAAAACCCCCTCAAGCGTGGATGGAGTCAGAACGAGTTTGTATGGTTCTGTTACCCAAGTTGGGGGCTTCTCACATTGCAGCATTTAGAAATCCAGGGTTTGAACTTGCCGGGAGCAGACTGCGTTAGCCCAGTGCAGTGATGGGTCTTTGGCCTGTGCCTTTTCTCTCTCAGGCACCAGCTAAGGCCCGCGTCCTTCAGTCTCGCATTCCTCCTCGATTTGCTAAGAAGCAGAACAGCTTGTGCTTGGAGCAAAGCGATGTAACAGTTTCTGGAAACAGCCTGGGCACAGAGATCTGGGAGAGCAACAGCCCAGGTAAGTTTGGGTCTGTCGTGGAGTGTTTCCTGCAGCTGGGGAATCCCCTGGTGCATGCAGGAAGGACAAGGTGTCTGCGCTTAGGAGACAACCTTCTCTTGTCTGGTGTGGGAAGTGGTAAGGGAGCTAGCAGACATCCTGAGTAGCATCTGTTCAAAGCTGTATTGTTCAACCATCTTCCTCCTGTTGCTGACTATGTCAGTCTCCTAATCTCTTTCTTGGGTGGTCTTGTAACATCAGGATCCTACGTGGCATTTTCTAGCCTGTTGGGCTGGATCTACTTCAGCCATTTTCTTACTTTTGTCTTCCTCTATTTTTCTCATCCTCTAGCAGTGCTTCCCATGTTTCTAACTCCGCTCTTTTTCCTGTTTTCGTGTTCCCTAAGAAATCTCTTCCCTATTCTCTACCCTTGCTTTCCATACCCTGTCTTCTCTGTGCTGTGTCATGTCTCAGCTGAACGGGCAGCACTACTTTGAGGTGGTCAAAATACCTTATCTCATGTCTAGAAATGGAAGGTTAATAGTGTAACATGCATGGTGTACAAGGTGTGCTTGCAGTTGTGTTGGAAGCAGCTGAACCCTGCCCTCTGTTCTCTTCCAGCTCTTTCTGTTCAGTCTCCTGGCAGTGATTCCTGGAGCAAGCCTGTAAATACTTTTAACAGTACTGAATCCAGCACCACTGAGGTAAGTGGCGCCCAATGTGCCATTCAGGTGTTATGTCTATAAAATACTAATGTAGGTGGCTTATGCTTCTCATTGCTCCATCTGTGCTTAGCGACTCTCAGCTCTGCTTGTGCAATTTTAAACTGTCTCTTTGCAGTTCTAATTTTGAGCTTGATGCTGCTCAACTCTTGACCTAGAGTGCCAAGCGCTGCTTGGTGTTACGTGTGGGTATAAATCTGGAGTTACTGTCTGGTAGAGCTATTCCAGGGTTACGCTCCTAACTGGACGCGGAATGTGGTTGAGGATGGTGGAATCCCATATATGGGTGATGTTTGTGTGCCTTGTGCCTGTGTGTAGCTGTAGCCTTAATGCAGGGAGGGCGGAGGAGGTTCCCGAATGCTTCATGCTTCACCTCTGGAGACCAGAGTTCAATCTGGTTTGGGTCACCAGTGAAATGGGTTTGGCAATCTCAGCCTAGTTGCTATGTGGGACACTTTTTTTCCTTATGCTGAAGCCATGGTCCAGTTGGTGCATTGGTTAATGTGTCTCAGGGTTGTGTAGAGCTGAAGCAGCAGCCAAGGGACGCTGCAGGTCAGGCCCAACTCCTTTGCAGTTAACCAAGAACATGATTTGAAAAGGGAATATGGTCTTGCTGTTTTCTGGGATTTTTCTTTTTTTCTACTCCTTTGTGGAGCTGGGTCGGAGTCCGGGGCTTTAACACGTTTCGTGCTTTGCATAGCAGGGTTTTAAAGGCAGCCAGGGGGATAGTGGCATTGACTTGAGCGCAGAGTCTCGGGAATCCTCCGCTACCTCCTCTCAGCGCAGTTCTCCATATGGCACCCTCAAACCAGAGGAGATGAATGGGGCTGGCCTGGTGGACCCAAAGCCTGACTGCCAGAAGGAGCAAGTGCAGAAGCAGTCTGATAAAAAGGTAACCTGGATTTGCAGCCAAGCCAGAGCACATAGTGAGATACCTTGTGAAGTGGTTCTCTTGTTCTTGATAGCATTTTTAAGGCTTGAGATTGGGTTATTCAGTCTTTGTGTCTCAGCCTCTCTGCTTTCCTGTTAAGGATTCAGATCAAGGCTCAGGACAGAACAAGGAACACAAGCCTGGACCAATCGGCAACGAACGCTCCCTGAAAAACAGAAAGGGTTCGGAGGGAACGGAACGGCTGGAAGGGAATATTCCCCCTGTTAATGGGGTGGAAATTCACGTGGATTCTGTACTTCCTGTGCCACCCATTGAATTTGGAGTAAATCCTAAAGTGAGGATTGAATTTAATTTTATCTTCTTGGTGATTTGAGCTTGTTGAGATATGAAAGGTGGTTTGAGGCAGAATGATTATTTAGAGGAAGCTTCCAGCTTTAGCTTTGCCTTAGATTTCATTACTGACACAAACCAGGTACTCAAGATGTCTTGGCAAACATGTAATATCCTCTTGGAAATACTGGCCCAAGGACCAGCTGGGGTGGTAACAGAGGTGAGGGACAAAATTATGGCCGTCTAAGCCTTCGTGTGCCTCTGGGGGTTGACTGCTGCTGAGTGCTGAGAAGTGTCTTTGTGTTCTCTTTCAGCAAGGCTTTACTGGAGGACAATCTTTAGTTTCTAGTGTCATAATTCAGGCTAAAATCATTAACCATGAGAAGCAGATGCATGGCCTTTGGACCTGGATTTGAATTTTGTGTGTTTTGGTTTTTCAGGACTCTGACTTCAGCTTGCCACCTGGTTCTGCCTCTGGCACTGCAGCTAACTCTGTTACCAAATTGCAGGATGCCTTGGCCAGTAATGTAAGTATTTCTTTTTTTTTCTTTTGGCATTGATTCATTGGAGATGCTCCTTAGTTAAACCTCAGGTGCTTCCAAAGACAGCAAGCATATTTCTTTGCAGTTCACTTCACACCTAGTGCTTAGGCAGCACATGTGACTAAACTCCATAATGGAAATCTGTGTGCCCTCAAGGTACCTTGATAAAATGAGCATCACTAGCTCAGAGGTGATATAGGGAGCAACTCCATTATCATTCAGTGACCTGTGTAAAGCAAGAGGTATTGCACATCTCAGAGATCACCGTTCTCCTCCCATGAGACACAAATGTGCTGGTAATGGACATGATGCAGATAGTGGCATTTTTAGGCCTAGACTGCCATCTTCTCAGAAGGTCTCATCTGCCACAGCAAGCAGAGAACTGTAACTTGTTAGTCAGGCCCTTTTGGAGGGTTCCTATCTAACTCCAGCCTTCTGGGTATTTCATTATTACATGTGAAAAAGTGAGCACACTGAAAGCCCAACTTCTAGCTCAGCTGTGGACAGCAATGTGAGAAACTCACAAAGCTTCTTTTGAAATGTCTTCAAGTTTGTAGGCTGTTCAGTTTTGGAGGTTTGTCTTAAAGGGTGCTTCTTCTCAGAAGTGCTCTTTCAGAAACAGGTTTTGTCTGAAATTTAGATAAATATGGGACAGGAGGGGGAACTCTTCTGCAAATTGAAGTTACTGGGTCAAATCAATATTGAAGTGGAAGCTGGTGTAACTTGACATAGACGGTGTCACTGCACATCACCAAAGCTTTGTTTATTCCAACAGCAGAATGGATCACGGTTGAATGTGTTACTTAACTCCTTCAGTACCACTGAGGATTGAATCCTTCGAGGTGTAGTTACTGGAGCTGCCAGCTGAGGCTCTGTCAGCCTTGGTAGCTCATGACATGCTCATTATAAAGTATTCACCATTTCTGAATCTCCCCTCAGGCAGGGTTAGCGCAGTCCATTCCCATTCTGCGAAGAGATCATCACCTCCAGCGGTGCATTGGCCTGAACCCAATGTCCTTCCCCACTGCAGACCTTACTCTTAAGGTAAGCAAGCTGGCATGTGTGTTACTCCATGACCAGAGTGGTGAGGGTGTGGAGAGATCTTTCCCAGAGTGTTTTGTTAGGTACTGCTAAATCTTTAATTAGCTTATGTAGAAGTTGTGCATATATGGTGTTCAACATGGATGGAAGGGCATGTGTTTCAACAGTCCTGGATGCTGAAGTTCTCAACAATTGTAGAAGTAGGACAACAGAGATTTCCTACTATTTCAGTAGCTGAGTAAGATGGCTGGTCAGGGATCCTAGGTGCCTGATGGTTTAAAGAAGGAAAAAACCCAACCAAACAAAAAATTACCAAAAACCCCAACAATACAACAAACCAAAACAAAAAACACCACCACCCCAAATCCAAAAAGCTCAGCAAATACCAAGGGGGATTGTGTGTTTGTGAAGGATACTTGCCCGTTGGAAGTTGTTGTGAGACCCCTTGACCTGGGACCTGCCAGGTTTCGACTATGACTAGACTAGACTGAATTTGAACTAATAGGTCATAGATGAGCAACTCTAGGCTTCAGTATTGTCCTCCCCATTTGAACTGTCTGTAGTTATTGTCCTTCATTTCCATAGATGGAGTCTGCTCGTAAAGCTTGGGAAAACTCTCCTAGTTTACCAGAACAGAACTCCCCAGGAGGCGCAGGCTCAGGCATCCAGCCTCCTTCCAGTGTTGGAGCTTCCAATGGTGTCAGCTACAGCTCTTTTGGTGGAGTTTCTATGCCTCCTATGCCTGTGGCGTCCGTAGCACCTTCTGCATCTATTCCAGGTACCCGCAAACTGCAGCAGCAGTATTTGCATTGTCTGATTGGTATCTAGGAATCATTCTCTGATTCTAGCAGATGAGAGCATGGTGAGAAGAACTTCCATGTAAAGTAACTGGCTGGCTCGTATTTAACAGATTCTTAACAACAATTCAGTCAAGACAGAGGGACTGTCTCCCCATTTTGGAGAACATTACTTGAGTGTGACTGGTACAAATTTAGTACAGGGATGACTTTTCCTGTGTAACGTCAAGTCTCTGATGTCTCAATAAGATCTGCTTACCCTTCACTGTGTGCTCAGTAGAATAGAAGGGAAATGAAGAAACCTGTGGCTGAGAGACTTCAACAGCCCCAGTGTCAATATCAACCATTCCTCTGCTCATTTTGCTATTTAAGTCACAGGTTGTGAGCACCTTCTGCTCTTTGTATGTAATAACAACTTGCTTACAGTTTGCAGAACTCTGGGAGGTGGGAAGGTAGTGCTGTCCTTGAGTTAGGAGAAACTTAAGCTCAGTCATGTTAGTGCATATAATTAGGGAGAGCATCTGGAAAAAGGAAATGTACTTGGATTCTCCAACTCCTGGGTCCCAAAGGACCTCTCATGCATACACTATCCTTCTCATTCCTCAGTTCAAGAGCAAAGTGGAATATGCTGGACAGCAGTGATAGTGAGTGGATCACTGTAGTGACTCTGTTACTAGCTTCCACTTGGAAAACAGGTTGTTTCAAGTCAGGTGATTTCCTTCCCCACCCACCCTAATTCTGCTTGTAAATCCTGTAGTTGAGGTGTGCACAGAACCACAGGAATGGCACAGCACTTTCACCCCAAGGGTGGCACCAGTTAGAATATGGCTTTTAGATCTCTTGTATGAAGGTCTCAAGCACCATGTTTGCTCTTTCTGTGCCTCCTAGCTGCAAAGATGAGGTGATTGCAGAGCAGGTTTCTGGCATTTAGGAACAGCTTGGAGTGCAGTTCACAAATTCCTGAACTGTTAGTGTCTCTGACTTTTTTTGTGGGTGTGGGAAACCTAGGTTTAAGTTTAGCATCTTACAGGAGGGTATTAATTCTCAGCAAGCCTGCTACTGTAAGTTGGATGCTGGCTTTGGTATGTGGACTCAGGAGCTTTGGTATGTGGACTCAGGAGCTTTACAGGCTCTTCTGAATAGATACTATGTTTGTGTTGACTTGCTGAGCTGGTTGCTGATAGGTAGGAAGTAGTCTTGACCTGCAGGTCTCTGTAGTGTATTGTGCCTGTATCTCCCCTGTACCTGGAATTTACAGCCTACCTTCTCCGATGTGTAGGTAACCATATTCCACCCCTCTATCTGGATGGCCATGTGTTTGCAAGTCAGCCCCGCCTGGTCCCTCAGACGATACCTCAGCAGCAGAGCTACCAACAGGTAAGGGAGAAATACAACCAGCTAGTGGTTTCTCAAGGAGTCTTCAGGGTGGCACTTAAGAAATGAGGAGTCATTTATCTCTGGTAGCCCAAAGGAGCTTAAATTCCTTGAATGCTGCTTCCCAGTGAGTGTCACAGGTCAGTGAAATTGAAGGAAGGGAATTGAGGGGGTTTTTCCCTTTTGTACCAGTGCCTTTGGACTGGGTTTAACTGAAGCAGATGCTGAGGCGTCTGGATGAGGTAAAGTGACGTTCAGTAAATTCCACAGCCAGTCAATACTGATGAGTAATTTCACTAGCCTTAGTAAATAGGGTGTTGATAGGGTTGGGGAGAGCCCCTTCAAAATAAGAGTGCAGGCAAGTGAGAGCTGGGATTGTCAGTGCCTGGTGTGTGTGTGTAGCACATTGGTCCCCTTGTGTATCCATCAAATGCCTCTTGCAGGCATCAGTCTTCCCCCTTGGGTGCCTATGCGGTGTCTTACCCTGTCAGTGTGCTGCTGTTCTGTGGAATGATGCAGGGGCTGGGTAAAGGCGCAGTGTAGGTAATTGTCATGGCAGATTTGACTCATGGGGGAAACTGATGGATTTTTTTAACAGTGTGGTAGAATGTCTGGCTCCTCTTGTACCTCTAAGTCATCTTATTTTCTTCTGCAGGCTGCTGCTGCTCAACAGATTCCCATTTCTCTCCACACATCCTTACAGGCCCAAGCTCAGCTTGGGCTGAGGGGTGGTCTGCCTGTTTCCCAGTCCCAGGAGATGTACAGCTCCATACAGCCCTTCAGGTAACTGCTTCCAGTTTTTCATTTCCTTGTGGTCTGAACTCTTACATTCCAGGTGGTTATGTACATTCATCACATACTCCACACTCTTCTCTTCTTCCCCCTTTGTTGACATGCAGTTTCCTTCCCCTAGTAATACTGCTGGGGTGGAGAGCAAGGATATCAGGGCATGTAAGGCTTTCTGTGGCATGTTTCTTTGTAGGACAATGACAAAGACCATCCTTGGAAAGTTACTCAGTTGTACTGCCTGTCTTCTCAAAGGGGGAGGCAAATTTTGGGAAAGATGCAGAAAGAGGAGATTTGTGGGCTGGCAAGCAGAGTCATGAGTGAGAAACCCAGAGCTTACAGCTTACTGTGTTGGGCATACTACTGAGGAGAAGCCAAAGAAACAGTTTGATCAGAGCTGAGTACCTGTATAGTGAAATTAAATAACTCTTTTTTATTAGATACAAACTACAAGACAAGAACAAAATAAATGTCTGCACTTAGGAGAAAAAAATGTAAGATTCAAATTAGGAAATCAAACGCAAGTGTAACAGCAACAGTACTTGACTGCAGGAACTGTTTAGTAGAATTGAAGGACTGACATCCACTTCAGAGTTGGGCTGGCTGTGAGAATCATACTCTGTACCCTCTTGCCTGCATGAGATGAGAGTGAATGATCAGAATAGTCCTTCAAGGCCTCAAAAACCTAGACACTGAGGTTTAAAAACCCCTTTTTAGCTAGAGCTGTTTGAATCTTTAACTTCTGATTCTTGTATTCTTTGCAAAACTGCTGCAGACTTCTGGTAACCTGAATCCTCCCGTATTACTAACCTAAAGCTTATTGTGCAGAATATAGATACATAAACTTTGGATAGGACGTGATGTCATTCTGTTGAATATTCCTGCAACACAAGGACATGGTTGTAAGGGCTTAAAATTGGAATTAAAAAGCCTGTAACTGAAATGGAAAGTGACATCACAGCTTATTTCTGAGCTATCAGTTTAGTAGAGTCTGAGAGCTGCTTGGTGATTGCAAGCTAGATACGGCATGGGATATAGTCTCCAAAGGTTTTCTGCATAATGACTTGAGCATGTTTTTCTTCTCCAGGTCTCAAGTGTATATGCACCCCAGTCTGTCTCAGCCCAGCACCATGGTCCTGACAGGAGGCACTGCTATGAAGCCTCCGTATTCTGCCTTCCCGGGCATGCAGCCCTTGGAGGTGGTGAAAACCCAGTCCGGGTCCCCCTATCAGCCCATGAATGGAAGCCAGACACTGGTTTATGAAGGCCAGATAAACCAGGCAGCTGGTATGGGAGCCTCCCAGATGATGGATTCTCAGCTTACACAGGTTAGGAGCAGGGCTTGCAAGCCACTCCCTTGTACAGGCTTTTTCACAGCCCCTTGTTTCTGAGACTGGGTGGAAACTAGTATTTGTGTTGCTGAGTCATGTGTTTGTGTGAGCTAAGCTCTTTGTAAAGAGGCAAAAGATTTCCCCAAAAGACTGTTCTGTGAACCAGTGTTTCAAAGATGTAGCACCTTATTTAATGAGATGCTTGCTAATTACTTGTCTGTCCCTGCTGAGTTGTCATTTTGTAACTTGGAAGCCCTCTCCCTCAATATAGATGTTTCACACAGATCAAACCTTGTGGTGCTTCATGCATAGGAGGTGATGATACAATAATTATCCTAAAAGTACCTCTTCTGAGAGCCAAATCCCAGTCGTCTCTGGATTTAACTTGACTTCCAGGGTAACCAGAACCTTTTATTAAAAGCTCATCTATCTTGTCAGTTCATTTGTTACTCAGGTCTTACAACTTCTGCTGATCTGTTTGGCAGCATCTTAACAAGAATTTCATTGTGTGAAAAAGTTCTTGTAGAGCATGGTTCAGATAAAGACACTGAATCCTACTGTGAGCATAGCTGTGTCTGTGGATATGTGTTCTGATTCTCTGGATAAGTTTGATACTTTTATTAAACTCATCTTATATTTATTTCATGCAACATGCTAAGGCTTATTTTTTGTTTAAAGAGGGATTTTTATGTTCTGACATAATGAGTGTCCCTGAAAGTAACTTAGCTGAGGAAAATACAGAGAATACTGGCAAACTAAATATTTGAAGAAATGCTTTATCCATCATAAGCCAGTAATTTAGTCTCGTTTGCTAGCCTTAGATTTACTTATTTATTACAAAGTGTTGTCACAGAACCTCCCAAATCCAGCAATTGTGAGAACTGTCAGATGAATTGGACGGAACAGGAGGCTCTTGAGTCCTGAGCTGTATGGGTTTTTTTAATTACTTTTAATTATTACCATCACCAGTTTGAAGCTCACTGCAGAACATAACGCTGAGGCCACCATCACTTTCTCTAGAAGTCCAGCCCTCAAAACCCTTTAGCTTGAAAGTGTAGCAGACTTTCTGGTTTGGGCATTGAAGATGCAAACGAAATGCCTGACACTGAGCTGTCTGAAACTGACATAATTTCAAAAGAATATACACCCAATGCAGCGACCATGAGGAAGACTGAAAAACTGGGTGAAGGTTCTAGGCAAGGAGGAAGGCCCTGTGTCTGAGTGCAGTTATGTTAAATCAATGCCATGTTAAAAGCCCAGCTGATAGGGTGTTGGCGTCACTACCAGAATATGCATTTCAGGGTGAAAGTCCCTCTGTTACATTGATTTGTATTTATTCTGTGCCAGACTGCACTGTTTGAGCTTCCTTTTAGCAATGCTGTGTTTTCAGTGTATTAGGAGACAGTGTGAAACACAAGACTTACCGCTGTTACGTTAACTACGTGTCCTCATCACACAGTTAACAATGCCTGTGCCTGGCTCCCAGCTTCCTCTGCCCCGCTACGGCTCTGGCCAGCAGCCCCTGATTCTACCACAGTCCATCCAGCTTCCTCAGGGGCAAAACCTGCCTGTAGGAGCTCCCCGAAGAATCCTCCCTCCTGGATCCCAGCCTTCTGTTCTTGCTACCAGCAGGGAGGTAAGGATTAACTCCTGCCTGCTTGTCTTGGCACTCATTAACCCCTCCTGCATTGAAGTTTTGCTCCTTGATCGTGCCTGTTAAAGGGGAGACTGGCTTGTTTGGGATCCTTAAATATCAAAGCCAAGGATTGGTGTTAAAATGAAGGAGCCCTTTTCCCCTCATCTCCAAAGCACAGACCAGCAGTTTGTCAGGTTTTGCTGCTGGTCATCATTCTGTTTCCAGGGAGCCACATCCTGCCTTGATCCAGTTTGGAGTCTCCAGTTTTATTACATGTTTACACAGGTTTCCCCAGAGTGCTTGAGGGGTGGTGAGCTCCAGACACAGTTGGAATACTGCCCAGATATTTCACACTGTTGTGAAGCTTGTCCATTTGAGTAGGTATATTAATGTCATGTCTGGTTTGATGGATTCATATCATAAGTTTGTCTATTATAGGGGAGAGAGAGCACAGCAGTTAACTTCCAGGCTCTGTATTTGCTTGTGCTGCTGGCTTGTTGGTTTAATACAAGCAGATTATTTCACTTACAAGCCTCACTTTCTTCACCTGAAAAATGTTTCTTCTTTTAATGGGCACAATGGGTAGAAGGGCAAAGATTTGGTTTAAGTTTTTATATGAAGTAATGAGTTATTTGTGAATGCAAAGATGATACTCTATCACTCATTTTCCTCTGTAGTCCTCCCAAATGGAAATGAAAGGGTTTCATTTCTCCGATGGTAAACCGAATATGTCCTCTGGAGGGTCTGTACCATCACCACACACGTACAGGTAAAATGTTTACAGAACTTAGCCTCTGTAGTAAGAATGAGGAGGTAGTAGTGTTCCCCATTTGCAGTGACATGGTGCATGCATCATCCCTGTACAAGATTCACTTGAGTTTTCACGTGTGGAATGTGCTTACTGTAGTCCAAATACTTGTATCAAAATGCACGATCGTGGCTTTCGGTTTTGGGTGTGGGCCAGCATGTATCTGACCTGGCCCTATGTGCCTGTGGGAAGTGCATAAAGTTGTTTGTTCACTGAATCTGAAAGACAGGTTGGAATTGGTGTGTGCTTTTGTGTGTTCCTTGTTAAGGGTGAAAATTTGAGGATCATTGAATAAACGTTTTAGTTTCCAGCATGATCCTCTCAAGATGACAGGTGCTAATGTCTGGACATACCAAACCTTCAAATCATTGAGCCTTTTTGGATGTGCAATTACTTTATTGTTTTTCTCCTAACCAATCCACGTGTTGTCTTTTGGGCTGGGGAGCTTGCTGAGCTGCACAGCACAGACTTGTGCCATGTCTACTGCTGCTTTCTGCTGTCTACTGCTGTCTCTTTTTTTCTTTCACACATGAATAAGGTTCTCATTCCATTGTAGAATTTACTCCATGAATATTGTCGACTCTTCGATTTCCAGGCCTAGCTCTGCCAGCCCAAGCGGGAAGCCATCTGGACCAGCAGTTAATATGGGCTCTGTGCAAGGACACTATGTACAACAGGTAGTGTACATCAGTACTTTACTCTTCTGTACTCTCGTGCTTGTGCCTTGGACTTCAGAGGAGTGGCAGAAAGGCCTGTGTGGTAAAGCTGTATGTGGGAGCTGTTGTTTTCCCTGCAGGGAGAGTGGGTGGGTGTTATACTGAGTCAAAGAGTAATGCTGTGTGATTTGAAAGTCAGGAGAGATTAGAGGATTACCTGTTTCAGTGTCCATGTTGTTTGTTGCTGAGTTTTTAAGGGTTATTTGCATTGCCAGACATGTGAGATCCTTATGTGTGAGGCGTTTTAGGATAGCAAAGTGTGACAGAGTAGAAGAAACACCTGATTTTTGGAGCAAATTTGATGTCTTGCGAATGCTGGTCACAGTTTGGTGGGACTTTCTTATATCTGCTTAGAGATGTCTGTACTAGCTAATGCTTTGGTTTTGTATGTCAAAAGGCAAAGCAGCGGGTGGATGAAAATAAAGCCAATCTGGGAGCAGTAAAGCTGCAAGAAACAGCCTCCACAAACCAGATGAAGCCAGTGCGCACGGGAGCGATTAAACCTCAGGCAGTCAAAGTGGAGGAAAGCAAGGCCTAGGAGTACATCCGATGCCCAGCTGGTCCTGTTGCCCGAGAGGCACTGCAGCTTAGACTGGACCCCACTGGATCTCCTGAAAATCACACCAGATCTGCTTCCTGCCCCACATTGACTGACTACAGTGACATCATCCAAGCCCCTCTCCCAACAAAGCAGTTTGAAACAGTGGATATGACATTGACCTGCTTGCTTTAAAACAAACCAACCATGTGACTTAAGTGGCTCCCGCCCATTCCCCCCCCTGACCCCACCACCACAAGGTGATGTAAGTGGCTGGAGCCATTCCCCTCCCATGCACCATCCACAGGTAGCTGTGACCGCTCACTTGGCAAAGCCTGTCCTTCTCCTTCCCTACTTCTGTCTCAGCAGAGTGGCAACTGGGGGAGAGGGGTTAGTTTGAGGTTTTTCATTTTAAAGGCAGCTGAGGTTTTTACAAAAAAAGCTATATCTTTGTTTATAGCAGAACTTTTATATGTTCTTTCATTTCCCCCCCCCTTCTTTCTGCTTTCCTCATTCCTTCCAGAAAAGAATTCCCTTCAGCTAAAATTATGTTCTGACAAAACTGCTTAGTTTTATATACGGTTCTGTACTATGCTGAGAATCATGACTCTTCTAAATTGAGTGAGTTTGGGTATATTTTTCCCCAGATTATTTAGCCTTTCAGATTATTTGATTTAAAAACCCAACCAAACAGGACAGTTATGGCATTCATTAATTTTTCAGTATTTTTGTTTTAAGCTAGAAGCAGTGCTTGCGTTAGAAATAAATGTGTACTAAAGGTCTATAGTAGATCAGTGCATTAATCTTGAAACTTGCACCACTTTAATTGTAGCTTTGGGGTGCCTTGTGCACAACAAAATGTGACATTTTCGTTTTAAGAAAAAAAAAAACCCACCACATTTCTGTTGCAAGCTCATCCAGATTTAGGTTTTGGGTTTTTTTTTAGTGGGTTTGGGATTTTTTTAGTGACTGCCAAACCCACACCAAAATGTAAATCATAGATTTACGAAATGTAAAATCTGTTAAGAAAAATCTCCTCACTGCATATGGGTCAGAAGAGTTGGCTGGAGCCAACGGGTCTGTATGGACTACTTTTTGTAGTTGTGATGCTCTCTCTTATGCTCCCTACCTTGGCCACTCTAATTCTTCCTGTCTCCTGAGACTTGTTCTATATTGTGTTCATCCCTTGGGGCTGCTCTCCTAAGCTTTGCCCTTCTCCCGTTTCCCTAGGTCTTGCTTTCTGTTCCTCTAACTGATGGCCTTTTGTAAAATTTGCATAGAAACGCATCGATAAGGGAGCCCCTCTGCAAGGCAGCCATTTTAGCACACTTGGAACCTCCTTTTTTGTGTTGGAAGCACACGCTTACAGAGACAGTTGGGAATCATCCTTGTTACTCTTCTTCCCCAGATGAATAGCAAAGGATTCTTTACTTTTGATGCAGTTGCATATAGCGCATATACAGTGTCGTCGCCTCACACTTCCTCACCAGTATTTGATGATCTATGAAAGGAAGGTCCCAGTGAGAGGGGGCTGGTTTTTTATTTCTTTGGTTCTTCAGTTTTGGTTTGTTGCGTGCGTGTGTGTGTGTGTGTAGATTTTTAGGATGGACTTACAAGTTCCTGAACATGCTTGGAGTCCTTCAGCTGACTGTAGTCTTAAGTAAACTCAGCTACTTTCAGCTAACTTGGTTTGTGTTGTTTAGTTCTTTCAAAATGTAAAGTAGGCTGGTTGCTCTGAAGTGAGGGAAAGAAAACTTCATTTTTGCAGGAGATGATAGCTTGCTAACTGGCTGTGCCATCTGCCTCTGCTAGGTGGCAGCAAGTCATTTGGTGGTGGTTCCAAAGAAGATACTTTGAACAAAGAATGTATTTGGGAAGAGATCTGAAAGGTGTTCTTATTTCTTCATTTGCTTCCCTGCCCTTTCTGGGAAAGATCCTTCATAACTTTCTAGGGATGCATTTGAAGTTTTAAGCTAAGTATAAATAAGAATTTTATACAATAGCTTTAAAGAGCTGAGAAAACTAAACTAACTTAGACATAGTAATGTCCCCTCTCCAGAGGTGTCCCCATTGACCATGGCAGAGAACCTGAAGGGAAAGGAATAGGATGGTACTTTAAGAAAAACAAAAGCTCTTTTTTTCTCATGTTTTATGGATTTCTAACTTCAGAGTGTGCCAGCATCTCTCTAGCTTCCTCCTTGAAGTACAGGGTTTGAGATGTAGTGACAAATATTTCCCAAGCCTTCAGACATCTCCCAGACCTGCATCCTCATCTGCTAGTCCTGCTCCCAACATTTTCCAAAGATTGCTCCACCAGTAAGTCATCCCACCCCCCTTGCTATTTTCTTCCTTGGAATATCATGAACAACAGAATTGTCTGGGGTGTTTTTTCTTTTTTTTATTATCCTTCTGCCCAGCTGGCCCTAGCTAATATCAGCCCAGAATCTAACTGTAATGGCTAAAGAGACTTATCCGAGCCCCCCTCTTTCCTACCCTAGACACACTACTTAAGCTTTACAAAGACACTAGCCTCTTTCCTCCCACGTATGACTTGAAAATGGTCAAATGTGTTGGAGAAATTGGGTTATTGCTAGAAACAAGTTATTGCAGTCCCTCTGGTGTAAATGCCATCAGGACTACAATACGTCCTGTTGAAAAAGGTCACCCTTCTTTCTCTTTTAACCCCTCCATTTCTTCCCCCAACAGAATAAAACACTAGAATTTATTTATACGTATTTGATGTTGTAGGTCTAGGTGAAAAAGTAATTGTTTCACTGCTCTATTTATATATTATGTCTGAATTATTCTGTGCAGGAAAGGCCAAGAAATGCATGTGAGCTTCATTCCATTCCTCACCTTTGCGTGACTGTCAGCTGCAGTTGGCAAGACTCTCTTTCACTTAATGGAGTTTTGTGTGATGGAAAGCAGTTTTAGAGCCCAAACTTCTAAGGTGCAATATCCTTCTTCTCTAACATATTTTTTGTTTGTTTGTTTAAAGCGAGTACAAGGTTAGTGCAGTGTTTGTGGTGCTCTTGAATCACAAGGAAAGTCTCTGATCCTCAAGGTGCAGAAATGCCAAGGGTGCTGGTACACTGATACAAATTCAGCTTGGGGAAGAGGAGAATGGAGATGTCTAGAGTGTGTGATATGGTCTATAGGGGATAATTCTGCTTGCAGTCTCCACTGCTGAAGGGTCGAGCCCTAATGATTTATTCCTTTGCGAGTTGCTTTTGCTTTGACTGGAAATCAGCTACCAAATTGCAGGCGGTTTCTGCTAGGAAAGGTGCAGTGGGAGGGCGAGGTGGAATCCATATTTTCAGCAACAATGGGTGAAGCAGAAATATTCAGAGGCTGACTTTGCTGCTTTTTGTTTGGCTGAAGGTCTGAAGCGTGTGTGTAAACCGTTCTTTTATACACAGGATTCATGGCCTAGCAGCTGCATTCAGTGCTGCTTTCCTCTCCAGTTTAGCCTGCTTTTAGCTCCTAATTAAAAAATAAAAAAAGGAGGCTAGGGAAGAAAAAAAAAAAAGGGGGGGGGAGGTGCTCCAGTATACTCCAGTATATTTTTAAATGACAAGTGGAAGCAGCACAGTCACCAGTGAAACAGGTATTATTGTTGATCTTCCATAACTTGTTCCTGGCTCTGCCATATGGCAGCTGTACAGTGGTCAGTTACTCTGAATGTGTTTGCAGCCCATTGAACTCCATATGTGTTTGTGTTCATGCAGAGGCACTCCATTTAACAGTTTCCTTGCAAGAATGCTGCAAAGCTACAAGCTGCCCTGTGGTTCCTGTGTATTTATAGATATATATTAAAAAATGAGCCTAGCATTTTCTTGCTATGTCTCACCTTTTGGCAGGCTACTATATTAACTTTCAAGCGAGCACACCACTGCATGCCAAGGTCTTGTTCTGTTGCATTTTGTTAACCTTCCGTTTGCTTCTGACTGGTTAAGCGCAGGTTAATTCCTTAGCGCGGGTTATTTTTGATGTACAGCAGCCCAGTTTCTTTGTAGGAAAGATGCATTTGTGAATAAGAATTAATTTACGACAGGCATTGGGACACTTAGTTGTGGCCCATCGATAGAAAAGGTGCGTTTTGCCGAAGCAATGGAACTGCTGGATGTGAAGAGACAGCAGCAGTCTGGCTACTTTTATTTTGTTTGTTTTTAATCCAAAGACCACCAGATTTTCCTAGTGGCCATAGACCCCTTCCCCCTTGGGTTTTATGGCTCGTCCCAGTTCCTCAAGATGTCTGCAGCCACCACCTTGACCGTTGCCCTGGGAATCGCAGCAGCAGCAGCAGCAGTGAGGCGCTTGCTCACCCTTTAGCATGTCTTGAGGCGTCGTCCTTAGCTGGAATCCTTCCTCTGGTTCTGTATAAATTGCATTTGTTGTTTCTCACGGGGATATTGTACTCCTTAAAGCTTTTAACCTCATGACCTGTATAGTAAATTTTTTTTGGCCTTTCCTCTCTTTGTCTTTTCATGTAGACCAGATATTTGAAAGGGCAGACGATGGATAATTGTGTAACGTGCAACCTGTTTATATTTTTTGGAAACTTTTACTTGGACCGGAACTCGAATCACGGAATCACCAGGCCAGTTGCGGCACACTCTTTATTGCCCTTTTTCCTTGTTTCAGTACCTATTGTTTCTCCTTTCAAATATGTGATTGTATTAGCTCTTTCCATATGAAAGAATTCTCCTTATTTAAATAAAAAAATAAAAAAATAAAGCAGATTATGCTTTTCTCAATGTCCTTTGGCTGGTTCTTTTGGTTAAAGACTTGCATCTATTTTTTTGCACCGTCGCCATGGCGGGCAGGCCC